ACTCTCTCCCTTGCCCTCCGCTCTTACAATCTCTCGAAGAATTCCTCATAATCTAACCCTACAGTAAAGTTTCTACACACTACTGGGGCTCTTGGACGCTGTTCTAACCTTCCAACTCCTCAAACTCTCTCTCAATTTTTGGCCAAAATCTTCTTTTGAAGATGTGGAAGAGTTTTCCCAAGAGTTGCCTAAGCATCCCCAGCAACTGCCCTTTTAAAACCCCCCGCCGATCTCGCCGTCGGCGGCCTCGAGGGCGCCGTCGGCGGGCCTTCTAAATTATTTTTCTAGAGTCTCGGGAAAATCTCGTCGTTGGCGCCGTTGGGCTCGCCGTTGGCACCCTAGTTCAATTCTTCACATTTTGGTCATTATCGCTCCAAATTCGCTCCTTTTTGCATCTTTTTGCTCCAATGACCATAATTCATCACACCTGCAACAAAACATCAAAAATACCTTTCTTTAAAGTTCAATATCATCAAAAACAGTATAAAATAGGTATGAAAATCTCAACATATTTTCCTTTGGTCAGTAGTCAACAACTCATCCAGATTTCAACCTTGATCTCTATGGTCTAAGGACATTATTGCAACTCGCCACCCCCTCCTATATGGCCAACCACAACCTGCATGCCTCATAGTTGATGCAACTCCCAATTCCGGCCTACGGACGTTATCATAGATTACCATTATGACCTATATGACCAACTACAACCAATGTAGTTTACAACTCCTAACTCTGAGCTTTGTGACATACGAACGCTATTGTGTTTAACAACTACGAACTATATAACCACTATAACTTATATTACCAACTACATCTTACTTGGCTCACAACTCCTGCAACTCCCTATTACGGACTCTGTGATCAACCAACATTCTTGAAGCAACCATCTGCATCTTGCATGACCAACCGCTACCACAATTTTCAATTACGACCTCTATAATAAGCTGGTATTACAACTATTGTTTACAACATTCATGACAAACAACTGTCTTCATAGCAACTTAATACAACCCTTGCGGGTTATTATCATTGTTATTGCCAAGAACAAAAATTGTCATGGCAAAATTACGTCTATTATCGTTGAACTATTGTTATATATCAATATTTTAATTCCATCTCTCTAATTCAAGAGAATGGTGTGTCTATATACTTATAATTACATAGTGAATAATTTGAACTAGGCTAGACCACATAATTTTTTGTATTTTTAGTATTTTTTACGCAAAAAATTGAGATGTATTATCCTACTTTTTCATTCTTTACTAATTTTTCGACGTACAATACATACTCAGATACAGAAGAATAATATGGCAAAATTCCACTTCATTTAAAAGTGTCTAGTGATAACGACGGTCCTGCAACCAAGTGATATGTTGTGTGTGATTTCTTGTTAATTTCTCCAAGTACATTGTCTTTGGGCATTAGCGTAATTTCATAGTAAGTTTCCGTTCATCTCTCATCCTTCCTTCTTGAAAGGTGGAACTACCCACAGTTTCTGTTATCAGTTGCTTCCAACACCATCACCACCTCCTCAAAAGCTTCCCTGTTGTTCATTATCACGAGGAAAAAACCCTAATCTTCTGCTTGGTTTCTCCTCTTACCATCAAGTTCGTCATGGGAACAAACAGAAACGTTAGTAAGAGAGCCTGCGTCTGCGAAGATTTCCAAACACCGCTGGGTTTCGATTTCACGAATCGCTCCTGTAATCCTCGTCCTTTGAAGAAACACCGATTCTATGAAGATCTCAAGCCCAACCTCTTTGACGCTCTCTCCGAGGACCTCCTCTTCCTGATACTTGACCGTCTTGATTCCAATGACATCGACAGGAAATCCTTCTCTCTGGTCTGCAGATCCTTCTACGCGGCCGAATCACGTCACCGGCGAACCCTCCGCCCCCTTCAGTCGGATCTAATCCCCGCTCTCCTCTATCGCTACCTATCCATCACTCACCTCGATCTCTCCTTCTGCCCTCGCGTATCAGATGACGTCCTTGCCTCGATCGCTGCAGGTGTTAGGCCCTCACTTCTTTCCATCGACCTGTCAAGGTCGTCGTCACTGTCACATTTTGGACTTGGTAGCTTGACGACGAGCTGCATGTCGCTGGTGGAGATCAATCTATCGAACGTGATTGCTCTGAGCGATGCGTCGGCTGCTGCCATTGGGCGGGCGAGGAATCTGGAGAGGCTGTGGTTGGCGAGGTGCAAGCTTGTGACGGACATGGGAATTGGTTGCATCGCTGTGGGGTGCCGGAAGCTGAAGTTGCTCTGTTTAAAGTGGTGCTTGGGGTTGACTGATTTGGGAATTGGGCTTGTGGCTGTAAAGTGTAGGGATCTCCGAGATTTGGATCTGTCGAACACGATGGTACGGATCTATACTGCAGTTCTTCTAAACGCTGTCTACTCCAATAAATGGAATTTTATCGGATTAGGATCTGATAGATAGAACTATTGCTAGAGTTTGCTTTTGTTGTTAGCAATAAAATTTTTAAGAACTATGGACTCATTCTTTCAAGAATTTTCAGATCACAAAGAATTGCCTTCCAGCAATCTTTCAGCTACCTCATCTCGAGAAGTTGTCTTTAGTGGGTTGCTATGGCCTTGATGACGACGGCCTTGTAGCTTTGAAGCAAAGTTGCAAGTCTCTTGAGGTACGAACTATTTGTGCTGAGTATTCTTTTTCATTTGTGATGTTTAAAAGATATCTAATTTATTATTAAACTAGATGTGACGGGAAATTCTGGGTTATGGGTCAATGGAATGTTGATTTTGTGGGTGCTAGGGGATAATGCTCGAATATTCTGCAGTTTTCTTTCTTTCTTTTGTGTCACTAATTTACTTTATTATGTAAGATGTTATTAATTTTGATTCACATTGAGAGGAGGATGGGGTCCCAACCATATGATTTTGGCTTTTTAATCCTTCTCTATTCCTTCCTTTCATTGTGGTTTGTATGTTACTCAACTCAAGTTGGAAATACGTCTAATTTCCTGCTTTGAAGCAAATTATTTAAGAACCCATTGGTATAAAGTAATTAGGTTATGTATTACAAACATGTGTTGTTGCCTCTTAATAATTCAACATCAAGTTTTTTCAAATAGGTAGATCATCGTAGTCAGCAGGATTAAATTCTTTGAATCTGATGGTTTTTTTTAATAAAAACGTCATCTTTCTGAACCTCAAACTATGACTTTCTGTTAGCAATCCTTGAGAATGGCTTGATTGGTTAGATATGGCATAAGCGGTTATGGATGCGAGAACTGATCCATCACTCAGTTAAGATACGCGTGGCTTCAATTTGGTATTAGAGCTTGTTCACGTTTTTTGGACAGCGGGATAATATCATGAATCTCTTTTTTTTTATAGGTATTCGACATGTCAAATTCTCAACATGTGAGTGATGTTGGCTTATCTTCCATAGTGAATGGTGCTGTCAACTTGCGTCAACTGATCCTGGCATACTCCTCTCCTGTAAGCCTCTCCATTCGTTAAACTACTACTTTTTAGCAAATTATGGTCCTAATAATCCAAACCGTTTACTTAGAATTAAATTTCTGGAACTCAGGTCACCCACCGGTTGGCTAGCAGCTTGACTAACCTTGCCAAGCTGGAGACAATAAAGTTGGATGGTTGTCAGATTACCAGTTCGGGGCTGCTTGCCTTAGGAAGTTCTTGCAACTCTTTAAAAGTGTTGAGCTTAAGCAAGTGCTTAGGTGTGACCGATGAAGGTCTTTCCTCTGTCGTGGCAAAGCACAGGGGTTTAACTAAGTTAGACATCACTTGCTGTCGCATGATAACGGACATCTCAATCGCTAGCATCACTAGTTCATGCACATCTCTTAAGTCGCTGCGTATGGAGTCATGTAACCTGGTTTCCAAGAATGGATTTCGTATGATTGGAGAACACTGCCCTCTTTTGGAGGAGCTTGATCTTACTGACAATGATTTAGACAATGAAGGTGCTCTTTTTTTTAAATTAAATTGTGAAACATTTTACTTCCTTTCTCACTTCTTAATTTAGTTTGTTAATGCAGGACTTAAGGCAATCTCTAGGTGTCATAAACTGTTGATTTTGAAGATTGGGTTATGTCTGAATGCTAATGATGAAGGCATTATTCAAATTGGCAGAGGTTGCCTGCTGCTTAAGGAGCTTGATTTATACAGGTTTGTTTTACCCTCATTTTACCTTAGTTCCTTTGCAGATAATGTATGTGATATTGAAAAAGAGTTTAGTTTTGCTTAAGATCGATGACATTAAAGCAATGAGAAAGTAGTTCATCTCTTTAATATAGGCTGTGCAAAACAAAAAAAAAATAATAATAAAGAGAAAAAAAAAGGTGGCAAATCTGAACCATTAAACCAATTGATTTGGTTTGGTTTAGGGTTGACATTTTTTCTAGACCAACTTTCTTGATTTGATTTGTGTCATGTTTGAATTCTTTTAAAATCGAAATATACTAAATTGAACTTGTTGAACATGATATATATACTTATAAATCCTCCTTCTAACTCCTGTTACTAGCCATCTATTTAATTTAGTTTGAATTGCAATCCTTTATACTTCAATAATTGCTATTTGTGATTTGCCAATTTGCATGTAGAGGACAATCATTTTAAAATTTATTGTTTCCATAGCTAGCTAACAAATATTTACTCTCTTGAATTCATTACATTTGAAAAATAATTGATAGCCTTAAATATCTTAGCCATGCACTCAAGCAGCCATTAAACTTTATTGAGTATATGATTTGATTAACTTTCCTAATTTTTACTTAGTAGCTTGCTTTACTTTAAAATGATTCCTCCAACTTGTAGTTTGCTTTGCCATCAAATTAAAACTGACTAGCTATCAAACCAAATAAACCCGTAACGAAAAACAAAATAAAAAGCCATTGCTTAATATTTTTGAATCAAAAGTCAAATGGAATCTTTTGGTTTAGTTTGATTTGGTTTGCCATTAAAAATTTGATTTTGATTTCAGGTTTAGTTAATTGATTTAGTTTTAAATATGGGTTAGTTTGGAATCAATGCCAAACCATGCATTATATATGCATGTGCCTTGTCAGTTGCAAGCATTATCCATTAAATGATACCTTAAAGTAATCTATAAATTTTAGCATCTAAAAGGACAACCTTTTTAATGGTTTATTCTGTAAAGGAATATTGAATCATTTTGCTAAAAAATGTTCCAAATCTTAACCAATGCGATTGATTTGTTGTCACAGGACCGTCGGAATAACTGACGCGGGTATTATGGCAATAGGCCGAGGTTGCCCTAAGCTTCAGATGATTAACCTTGCATATTGCACCGAAATTACTGATAATGCATTGAGATCATTATCAAAGTGCTCCAAATTGAGTACACTGGAGCTTCGAGGCTGCTCCCAAGTTTCAAATTACGGTCTTGTTTCCATTGCTCTGGGATGCAAAGACATCGTTAAGCTTGATATAAAAAAATGCTATGATATCACTGATATCGGCATAGTTCCTTTTGCACACCTGTGCAGTCGTCTTCGTCAAGTATGATTATTGTTTTTTTCTGATTCTTTTTTTCCCTGATAAAAAAACTAAGAAATAACATTCATTTCTGCCGTCTCTGTGCAGATAAACCTCTCGTATTCTTCCGTAACAGCTATTGGGCTCTTAGCGCTGGCAAGCATCAAGAGCTTACAAAGTGTTACGATTCTACATCTTAACGAACTGACACCAGATGGCTTGGCTACTATGCTACTGGCAAGTGTTGGTTTAAAGAGAGTGAAACTCCACATTTCGTTTAAATATTTGATTTCCGGGCAAGTAATTAGGCATTTGGAGGCACGTGGATGCATATTTCAGTGGAGGGACAAACCCTTTCAGGTATTTTAATCATCTATCTGTGGGATTTGAGTTTTCCCTTTGCTCCACAGTGAAAATTACATGCTATAAATGTTTTTCATGCTTCTTTGATCTTCTAATTATAGGCTTTTGGGCGCCATAGAAAAATTCGAATAAGAAAATAAATAAATAATTATTTATATATTTTTGGATGATTCACTTGTATACCCCTAAATTCTTATGAATTTTACATAGCTAACTTTAATTTTTACTTATTTGCTGCTTTTCTTTGCATGAAAAACTTTATCTCACTTTTTAAAAGTTAAAATAGCAGTTTTTTTTTATGTGATATGAATGATTTGGGTGTTGTCAATCTAAAAAGCAAAGTTTAGGTGCGAGATATGTTGTGTGATATATATATATATATATATATATATATATATATATAATGTAAATTTTAACATATGGATATTGTGATGGGGGCCTAGGATTTGTAAACATAAATGATGGTCCTCCTGTAAGTCCGTAGGGACAGAGGTGTCTATCTAGGCAAGTGTTGCCGAGGATCGACTGAGTGAGACTAAACTTGGGGCAACTGCCCCCTGGTTCCGGTCTTAGTGTATCCCCTTCTATTCGTTTGGATGGATCCACAATCACATAGAAAATTAAGTTGGGTATACAATTTCTACAAAAGTTTGGTTCGAAGATAAAAAATTTATGTATATTTTGTTCATCAGATTTATTTGCCTCTTTAGGAGTCTAAGTGGTCTTTCCCTGCTGCAGGCCGAAGTGGATGCCAATGAGGTCTGGAAACAGATGTCCCAAGACTTGGTGGCCGTTGTGTAATAGAATCTCCCTCTGATGATTATTCATAAATTAACAGGCTTATGGAGGGCACAGCTTCCATCTACTGATTTGATCATTGTATTACATGTTGAGCGTTCTTGGCTGTATTAATGTAAAGTTAACTTGATTTGTAATTAATCTTTTGTTGAGATTTGGTTTAAAAAATGAGCTATGTGGGGTTTGGTGAAAAACAAGTTGTCATTTCCTTGCATATTTTTAGCTAGTTTTAATATTAGAAATGAAATGTAGAGATGTTTTTATTATAGTTCAATTTATGAAATGGTCCGAAGATCAAATTTAGGTCATTTGAGCATGGGATATTTGTTGTTCCGAAGATTTACGTACAACCACTCAATTTCTATGTATTTTACCTATTTAACACACACTTTAATTTTTACATACATGCCACTTTATTACTGGGTGAAATGATATATTTTACTTTTTAAAATATAAAATGATATTATTTTTGATGTGCTTAGAATGATTTAGGTGGTATTAATGTAAAAAAACTACAGTTTAGGTGTTCGATATATAATTGCATGAGAATTGGATGGTAGGTATGTAAATGCGCTTGTATTTTTAAGCTTTGGTAAGTCACGGTCAATTTTGTTAGGTATTTTGTTAATTTGGTTTGTTGCTTGTAGTAGATGTGGTTTTAAAAAAAAATAATTGTTTTAGGCTCATTAATTTTGACTTTAAAAAGGAATATTCTCATTTTGATAGATTTTTTAAATTTTTAGAAAGCAAATAATCACTATTTTGAGGGAGTTTAATTGCATTTATTTGTGTTAATTGTTTTTGTAAACTAAATGTCATATCTTAATGAAAATATTAATAGAAAAGTTACAATTCTAAACAATGAATGCTGGGAGATTAATTTCAGCTTGTATTCTCGAGTTACCCACAGTTTTTTAAAGGAGCGTGGAAATATAAATTTGCTAAATGAGATATTAAATCTAGTTAAATTTTTAATAAAATAAATTACTTAACACCCACAATTTTTAGATAAATTAATGTGGTCACATTTAAAGTTTACTTCAAGTTTGATTTTTGAATTGGCTTTCCCCGTTTACACAAATTTTCTTAATAAGAGCTGGGTCAGAGGGTACACCCACCAATCAGGAATCTTCTTAGATGCCAGCGCCCGTACGCGACAACACAACACATATAATGTTTACTGGGGGCATGGAAAAATCGTCTCATTTGGTCCCGTCGGATCATCGGCAAGGGCGGAAATTTTTAAAACTGTCGTGAAAATTAAGTTTTTTTTTTTTTTAATAAAAACATTTTAAAATATATATAAAATTGATAAAGCGGGCGACTTTGCCAAAAAATAAAAATAAAAAAAATAACTCGTTGTTCGTGAACAGTTCGTGTTCGATTCGTCAATGAGTTTGTGTTCTGTTCATTCGATAAATAAACAAGACGAAAGTAAATAATTTTTTTTCGTTCGATTAGTAAACGAATCAAACACGGATAGCGATGCATTCGTTAGTATTCAAAATATTATTGTTTGAAATATAAAATAATTTAAAATAATTATATATAAAAAAATTTATGATATTTTAAAAAATTAAATTTTATAAATTATAATATATAATAAATTAATAATAATAATATATTAATATATTATATAAGTAATATGCTAATATATATTATATATTTATATAGTATAAGTTATATAATTAATATAATATATTATTTATATATAGTAATATTAAGGATGTTAAATTGGCTCGTCGTTCGCGAACAGCTTGTGTTCGGCTCGTGTTCGACTCGTTCGTTAACAAACGAACACGAACAGTAACTTCACGAAAAATTTTGAACACGAGTTTTTTTCAAACAAACTAAATTTCAAATAAACCAAACACGAACACAAGCTCTGTTTATTTGTGTTCGTTTTGTTTACACCCCTACGCACTCACACCTAAATCAGCACGAACAAATTTCAGTGGCCGTTTTGATATTCCCAAATTCAAATATATTTAATGAAATATTATATTAATTACATCTTATGGTATATGTATTATGACGTGTACATCAATTTCTCCGGCAACTGTTTTATGTCATTTGAAATTGTTTCCCAATTAAACAAATGAAAAAGGATTTTGTGATATATATTTTTATTAAATACTTTTAAACAAATGATAAAAAATTTAATTAGTATTGAATATTTAGCAGAGTTTTTATTGATGAATAACAAATTTTAGAAATGTAGTTCTGTACAAAATTCCTCAACATATTGGCTGTAATGAAATTTTTTAAATAGTTGTACTAATAATTTTTTTTTAGTAAATTGTTGTGAGATATGTACTTCTTGGCATAAAAATGAGACGCAATGAACACAAACAAACACGTATCGTTTACGTGGTTCGATCCAACTGGATCTACGTCCACGGGAGGGAATCAATCAAATAGTTCACTAAGACAAAAGAAACGGAGAATACATAGTTTATACATGGAGATGAGCCATCATCTTCCTTCTATGGCCTCCCTCTCAAGCGACACCTTGATACAAGGCCTCAAGATGCTCTCCTCCTCTCTAGCTCTCTAGCTTATTCTCTTCTCCTTTGTGGTAGCTTAAGATCTCTTCCCTTGCACTCCTAAGCCTCACACCCTCTCTATTTATAGAAGCAAGAGAGTGGTAGGTGGGAGGTAGGTGAGAGGTAGTTGAGCGGCAGGTGAGCGGTAGGTGAGATGTGGTAAGTAAGCGGTACTACATTACAAAAGTGTCCTTTTACCTTAGTTCAATAATTGAGGGTCAAAATAACAATTCTCCACCTTGACCCTCAATTGAGAAGCTTCGAAGTAAAGATTCCCTCCACCTGGCCTCTGAGAGGCCCTCAGCCTTTGCTTGAGTTTGCTAAGTCCAAACAGTACATGGACTTAGCAATCACGGTTCTTCCGATAAGAGAGTATAACCTCTTTTTCCTGACTCCTTGTATGACGACACGAGGGCCTTTGGTTACTCTGATGCATCCATTCTCTGCCTTGAACGAGCATCCGCTTGACTCCAGCGTAACTAAGGAAATCAGATTTCTTTTGAGCTCTGGTACGTACCTGACATTTTTTAGTACTGGTTCAACTCCATCAAACATCCTTATCCTGATTGATCCACTTCCAACAACCCTGTGAGTTTTATTGTCTCCCAGTAGAACGGACCCATCATTTTCCTGTTGTACTGTCTCGAACCAGTTTTTCTGAGGACACATGTGGAAAGAACACCCTGAGTCGAGGATCCACTCCTTACTGGATTCAGATTTTGTGATCACCAGGGCCTCAGCAGAATCGTAGTCATCAAAGGCTACGCTTGCTTCTCCTGATTCTCTTGGCTCTTCTTGGTACTTATTCTTCCTATCTGGGCAGTTCCTCTTGAAATGACCGTCCTTGTGACAATGATAGCACTTGAAAGATCCCCTTGATGACTGATTCTCGCCATCCTTGCTTGACCTTGATATGTACTGACCATTTCTTGAATCTTTCCTGTCCGATCTTCCTCTGACAATAAGACTGTCTCTGCTGACTTTCTTGTCCCTGTCATGCTTCCTCTGAAGTTTTTTGGCTATAATCAGAGATTAAACATCTTCCCGAGTAATAGTCTGCACCCTTCCATAGAGCATCGCATCCTTGAAATGCTCGTAGCTCTTAGGAATAGAGTTTAACAACAACAGTGCATTGTCCTCATCGTCCATCTTGACGTCGATGTTCTCGAGGTCGTCGATGATCTTGTTAA